AAAAAAAAAAAAAAAAAAAATTCAAATCATTTTGTGCAATCACTGAAATCAGTTATCCAAACAGTAACGCTTTTTGATTATAGAACTATATTTTCAAGTTGCTTTTATTTTATGTAGAATCATGTATAAATAAAAAGATTTTTTCTGGGTCATGTTTTAATAAAATGTATTATTGTTATTTTAAAAATACTACATATTAAGCAAGACAAAAAGGTGAACATGATATACATTGTCTTGTTTTCTCTGTATATTTAGATAAAGCCATCTTGCTGCTCTATGATGGCTCTTCAGGAAGAAAAAGATAAACCAGTACATTATGAAAATCACCACGAGTCAAGAACAGTAGACAAAGAGCCTGGATTAGAAGATTCAAAGGAAATAGTAGAGTGGAAACGACTGCCTGGACAGGTGAAATGTTTAGTACTGCTATATTCATTTAGATATTTACTCCCTTTTAAATCTTAGATTTGCATATGGTCACAAGTGATAGATTTTTGATGCTTGTAAGAGCTGTATCTCCTAATCTTTATGAGTTCATGAATTTATTTTTACATCCTCTGCTTTCTTCCTGAATTACATATTGATGGAGATAATATACGTGCATATCTTTCTTTCACAATTTGAATAGCATTTAAGCTTTTACAAAAGTTTTCTTACTTAGCTTTTTTGCAATGATAGAAAAACATTAGCAGTCAGTTTTAGAAATTTTTATTTCCCATAAGAAAACAAACACCAATTTGATTCCTGGGGTGTGGTTCTGGCCCCACTCCTGGCACACACCAAGACACAACTGAAACTGGGCATAGTGGCATGTGCCTGCAGTTCCAGCACTTGGGAGGCTGAAAACAGCAGGATCACTATAGTCTAATCTGTATAGTTAGATTCTGTAGACCCTGTACTAAATACATTTAAAAAAAAAAAAAGCATACAAAACCAAATGATATTTGGTATAAATACTAAATACAATTTATCTAAAATTTTAATTTATCCAGATATCTAATATAGAAATGAAAATGACTATTTCTCTAGACCTCTTCACTTTCTGTGTTTTGCATCATGTTTGTCTTTCTCTATGAGACTAGTTTTACAGATAGATTTTAAAATGACTGTACTAGGGTGGGAATATTTCAAACATTATACCAGTTGAGCATCTCTAATCTCAAAATACAAATTCCAAAATTCTTCAAAAGCTTCAGATTTTGGAGCATTTTGGATTCTGGATTTTCAGATTAAAGATGCTCAGCCAATATTCCAAAACCCAAAATAACCAAAACAGGTGAAATGCTTCTGGTCCAAAGGATTTTAAATAAGAGATATATAGCATGTATTATGGAGAGACCAATGCTTAAATGATGCCCTAGGAAACCTTCCTTGTTAGCTAGGGAAAGAGGAAAGCAGTCCCTGGGCTGTTTGCCAGATAAAGTCTTGAGGCAAAAAATAGCTATGAATGTAGTTATATGAATTAGTAGTTCACAAAGTATGGTTTGGATTCTCTTGAGATCCTGAGGTCCTTTCAGGGATTTCTTAAAATCTGTCTCTTTTCATAGCGATTCTAACTTATTTTTACTCCTTTTTTTACTTTCACAAGCACATACTATAGTTTTCTAGTGGTGAAATGGCATGTGAGGCATGAAAAGAGTGAATGCAATAAGCCTGAAAATCTACTTTTATTAATCCAGGTTAAGGAGAGTTTTAGAAATACACATTTTAGAGGGCCAGCCCGCTAGCTCAGCAGACTAAAGTGCCTGCTTTGGCAGAGTGCAGCAGCTGGAGATCTATTCCTGGCATGCTATGCTGGCCCCATCCCCGGGGCCCACTGAGAAGGTGATTGAGACTGGGCATGGTGGTGCACGTCTGTAATCCCAGTGCTTGGAAGGCTAAAAACAGGAGGATCACTATGAATCAGATCTATATAGTGAGACCCTGCACACCCTGTAGACCTTGTCCTAAATTCATTTAAAAAAATTAAAACATACATTTTATATTATTTTTCATTTAAAAAGTCTATGTTAGCAATGGATTTGCTAGGTACTTCTAATAAATATTTTTAACCTTCAATTTTAATATCTAATTTAATAAACATCCATCAATATAGCCCCATAAACAAAAATGTTTTGAACTCCTCAAGCATGTTTTGACTGAAGTAGCCTGAGACTAGAGAGTTTGAGAATTGGAAAATGAAGATGAAGAAGAATGGAAAAGTAGATTCATTTGGTAGGTTGCTGGAGCTTGCCATGACCTAAGATGGCCAGCTTAGAGTTGAGAAGGGTGTTTTATATGGAGGTGAAGTTGCAAATGTGTGAAAAGCATTTGTGTGCATTAGGCCCTCTGGCAGTTGGCTACCAGAAACCACAACTTACAGGAGATATAGTGTGCCCGATGAAGTTCACATTATAGAGAGTGTGGAGCTTTCTACTTGATTTTGTGGAGTGTGAGAAATGATGGTAGGTTTAAATAAGAGAGACACATTAATAACAATCTTATTTTAATATAAATTAATGCTGGGAATGACATGGTGGATTCTGAAACAAGGTACATTAGAATTAAGAATAATGTATAGATGGCATTTGATCACAATATTTGAAGTGATGATAGTCTAAACTTGAAAGAGTAAGAGATGAACATAAGGGTTAGAAAGTAAGACCCTGCATGGCTTAGTGACTAAAAGAGTAGTAAAGAAAGTGTGGTAGGGTTAGTATTCAGAGCACTTGAAGATTTTTATTACTATTTTCTGATATTCACTGAGTGCTTATTCTGGGTGAGGACACAGCATCCAACTGTGGGAATACAAGTAACAGTAGTGGCTTCTGTGATTTGAGTGGCTTCTGTGATTCTGTGAGGTGAGTGTAGCTGACTCACCTCAGCTACATTCTAGGAGTAGTAATACAGTTACAAAGCCTCTTGATGTCTCCCTCATTTTTTGTAATTTTACCCTTCTCTCCCTTTTCTTTGTCATCGGGTCTGAGGTTAGAAAAAAGAGATGGGCATCGTGGTGTCTAGTACATTATTGACATGTAATGGATATCTTTTGAATTTTTCATATGCCCAGTATATCCTAATGTTGCTTGTGAGCTGCTAAATCTTGATGCTGTTTGTCAGAAACTTGATACCTATCTAGAAATTAAGCCTAACAGTCTTTGACAAGGCTCATTAAGCTGGGCTTGACCCTTGGATCAATCCTTATTAGCTATATTTAGCTAATAATGATTATTCTTAGGTAATGATAGTTACGCAAAGGGTCGCAATAATGAATATATTCAGAGCCAACTGTAATAAGGTACAGCATTCATGGCATACAGTAAGGACCCAAAACATGATTTCTAAATCATGTTTCTAAATCACTTTCTAAATACACTGAAGGGCCACTGAAGATTAGAAGAGGTAGAATTAGGAAACACAAAAGTAAATAGTATTTTTGGCAGTTGATATTAATACTCAGAAAATTTTAGTTTTGTCTGGTTACAGGTAATAAAAGTATAGAAATTATTATAAAATATTAATACATTTAATGAATGAGAGGCAAATATGGGGTGATTATTTGGAATATGCAGTAATCTCATATCCACAGGAGATGTATTCCTAGACCTCTAGTGGATGCCCAAAACCCAGACAGTACTGAGCTCTTCATAGACTTTCTTCCTACAGAAATAGCTATGATAAAGTTTAATGTGTAAATTAGATTCTGTGTAACCATCTCTTTGTAGTAAATGGTTTGGTGTCATTTATTTTTAGGAGATCTCTTACCAAATAAATCTTTGTGTAGGCTCTATGCGTTTTGATGCAACATGTCAATCAGAACAGATTTTTTGTTCATGTTTCTTGCCTACAAATTTAATGTCTTCTGCACTTTAAGCATTAATCACTCAAGCTGGCCATAACTTGGAGTTTGGAATACGACTGCAAAATTAGGACAAACGTTTTTTCGTCCTTTGTAATTCGTTCTTACTGTTGATCTTTGTAAGCTCAACATTTGATTTTTTTTTTTCCTTAAGTCTGAACTTTTACCTTTTCACCTATAGAAAGCATTTTAACATCTATTTTTGTTGTTGTTGTTATATGGGAATTGCCAGCCCTACTGCTCTTGTTCTTTGCAACCATGAACATGAGCACAGGTACTAAGATAGCATGACAGTGGATCTCATAGCCAAAGCAGTAGCCGTGCAGTGACTATTGCATGGGTGTCATGTACCATGGGGATCGCCTAAAAGAAGAGAGATAATTCCTATCCCATACATTGTTTAGCTCAGTTTTGTCACACTACTTAGAATGGTGCAAAATTTAAAGCCATTACCTTCTTAAAATTGCTTATTTCTTGAATTTTCTTCCACTTAATATTTTCAGACCACACTTGACCATAATAATCAGAAGCCATGAAAAGCAAAACCACAGATAAGGGATGGCTGCTCTATATTTTAAAAAGAGACATAAGAGGTGGTTATTTTAAGAGAAAAAAGAGAGCTGAACACTCATGCATCCTAGGCTTAGGCTAGGACATGTAGGGCGTTTACAGTTTTAAAACAAGTTTGTCATCTGAGCAAAATGACTGACGTTGCTGTCAAGGAATAAGATTGTGATACACATTCTTTCTTGTGGCTATATACAGGCAGTATGGCAGTGACAGATTCAGAGTATTAAATTCTTCCTAGTCATATTTTAGATGAAATAAGTGTTAGAAACAAAGAACAGATTTGCTTAATCTTATGAAAACTAATTCTATTTAGAAAGTAATTTAGGATATTTTACTACTTCTTGCATCCCAGTAAAAGAATATCATCATAGTTTTAAAAACCTACTATAGTAATTGAGATTAACAAGTAGCTTTGTATTTTAATGTTTCTTAATTTATATTTTTTAAATACATGTTTTTTAGGCTTGCCGTATCCCGAACAAGCACCTCTTCTCACTAAGTGCAGGAGAACGAGGATGTTTTTGTCTTGATTTCTCCCACAGTGGAAGAATATTAGCAGCGGCCTGTGCCAGCCGGGATGGATACCCAATTATGTGTGAGAAATAATCCTAACTATATAATCTGACTGCACTCTATGTAATGGACATTGTCTGGTTTAAAAATTCATTGAAATCTTGAGTAATCTTCAGTTCTAGTACATTAAAGAAGACAAATCTCCTTATGTCTTCTTTATAAGTATAAAAGAAGTTCTTTTATACTTTAACCATTGAGAAATACAGTGAGATTATTAAATAAAAGATGTCATTTTTTTAAACATGCAGGAAAGTTTTTATTTTAAATACGGAAATGTAGAAACTTGAAGGATAAATCTCAGAGCAGTTTGCCCTATGTAGTTAGGTGACAGCAGTGATAAATTGAAGTATGAGAGCCTATGAATTTTTTGTGCACCAGGACATTACTGATTGCCTTAAAAGTACCTAGATAAAGATGTCTCAGTCTGATTGGAAAGTAGCAAAGAACCCAAGAAAAATTATTTCTGTAGCTTTAGAGTGTTTTGAAGTTTTTTTAGCAAGCATTGCCAGCTGTCCTGGAAGTGTTAAACCAGCTCTTCCGCAGGAGGAAGCCAGCGTCTCACCATCATCTGCCCTGCACACTGAATGATAAACTTTTTGTACTAAGCTTGTAGACAATATGTAATCCAAAAGCACAGTGAGTATTTAAATGTTAACAAATGTAATAAAATAAAAGACACATTGTCATGATTCCTTTGCAAGATATTCTTCTCCCCTGCTTCAAACACATGTAGCCCATTGTTCTTGCTACTTCTGCAGCAGCTCTGGAAATGCCTTTTTGTCATTGTCTTTAGTTGCATTATTGTGGCTCCCTCAATGTCCTAAATGGATTCAAAATGTTTCATGATCATTTGGACTTTAGGAAGAGCCATGTGTCACCTGGTGCCAGATCCAGTGAATAAGGTAGGGGAGGACATACCGCTATATATTTGTGAGCCTGCCTTTACATTGGATGGCCCACAGCAGCAGCATTCACTGGATTTTTGATCATGCCTCCTAAGCACACAAAAGAGGACTTCTGGAAGTGCTTCAGAAATGGCGAGAACAATGGGTTAACTTTTCAAATTAATATGTGCTCAGGTTAATGGCCATGTGTCTTTCACCATAATTTTTTAAATTTATAGATGTGTATTGTATATTTTGATCACACCATGTAGTAATTCACTTTTTTCAGCAGGGATTCCTAATTGAGTTCACTGGCATTTATTAAATTAATATTCCTCCTCATAAAATAATAATAGATTTTCAAAATATAAAATTAATTATATAGCTTGATTAATCACTATGCTGTTCTGAAATTCACCAAAAATCTATGTGTAGAGGGAGATTTTTGTGAAACAAGCTCCCAAATGCTAATGCTATAGTAGTGATTTCTTTCTCATGATTAATGAAAGAATTATTTTCATTCTGATTTATGTGTTTTACATCTTTGTGATAAACTTGTTATACTTAATTATTCCACGTGATGTGCATTTAGATGTATATATTGCTTAAATCACAAAAATCAGAAGATGAATCTTTGTCTTTGGTTTATGACTATGCTTATTATGTTGTGTCTCAACTTGGAACTTGCTTAGTTTGTTAATGTTCAGATTAGTATTTTTCACAAGTGTGGGGTTGAGTCAGTCGATGTTTCTTCATATTTTCTGATTACCCCTTTCTCTTTATTCTTCTGGAACCCCCATTATGCCTGTGTTTTGTAGACTTGATGAGCTTCCCGCAGACCTCTGAGACATACTTGTTCTCATTCTTTTTCTGTTCTTTACATTGAATAATTTCAAGTGAGCTGTCATTAAGTTCAGTAATTATTCTGCCTGCTTGTATCCTTTGAGCTCCTCTAGTCAATTATTTCAGTGATTGTACTTTTCAAATCTAAAATTTTTTTTGGTCCTTTTTGTCTTTTATTACTGGTACTGTTTTTGATGAGAAATAATTCTTAGTTTAATTCTTCAGATATGCTCCTTTTTAGATCTTTGAACATGTTCATAAGAATGAATTTAAAGTTTGTTGGAAAAGACCAATGCATAGACTGCCTCAGTTTCTGTATGGACAGTTTCTATTAACTGTTTTTTTTCCTGTTCACAGATTATACTTCTGCTGTTTTTTTCCATGTCTCTTGATTTTATGTTGAAACCTGGTATAGACAGAGATTTTTGTTAAATACTTTGGCTTTCATAGATCTGCTGTCCTTTCCAGGGGACTATGTGTGTCAGGCTCTCAGAGCTTCAACAGGCAATTAAAAACTCTGCCTTCACTTGCTGTTTGTTCACAATCTCCTTGAGTCAGCTGGAGGGAGAGATAAAGCATGTTAGGTTTTGCTTGGCTGTGCACACAGACCTTTTGTTATATATGTGCATGTGAATCTTTTAGATTCTTAGATACACACTGTTTTGGAGCTTTTGAAGGTCCTATAGGACCATCTTGTTCCCAGGTATTTTACTTTAAATTTTGTAGTGAACCTCGTCTTAGCCTCAAGTGCTGTTACCACCTGAGACAGCTGTAGTGCTAAACAGTGCCACTCTGTTTCAGCGGTTTTTTGGTTTCCCCCACCCCCAGTTGAACTCAGGCCCTTGTGCTTGCCAGGCAAGCACTTATTCTACTGAGCCATCTCCCTGGCCCCCAGTTGCTTGTATAAAGTGTGTAGTGAGCCAGGTCTGGTAAAGGCAGGCCCTCTGCACAGAATCTCTCGTGGAGCTGCCAGACTGTCAGATACTTTAGGGATCTGCAGCCCTGTTCTGCAGACTCCAGTGCCTGTTAGGCTCTTGTTTTTCACCAATTTTTAAGGCTATTTTAGAATTCAAGAGAGGGAAATGGAATAAGTGAAAAATACTGAAGCTCAGAGTTCTTACTGAAATCCATTCATTTGTCTTTTGACTAAATACTCAGCAGATTCTTACAAGCTGTGCTTAATTTCCAGTATTCTGAGACATGTTTGAAGAATTTTTGCTACTGTTCTTGTTGCTTTCATGGAGAAGCAGATTTTCCAAGGTCCAGTTACTCAGTACTTTAGATCTTCTTAGTAGTGTAGCTAATGAATACTTGGTTTTACCACTAGGTGGAGGTAGAGACTTCAATTCTGTTTCTGTGTTCAGATTTGTGTGTGAAACCTGTAATAGCATAGTGCTTTGTCTGTCAAATTGAAAAGCTGCTAAGAACTTTGCTCTGTCATTTTATATTGAATTTTTTTTCTGACAGTAGCTAAGTTTAAATTTCTAATCACTTCAAATAATCACAATTTTGTTGAGCATTTAGTTGATTTTCAAGTAAAATAACACTTCATTAAACACGAAGTTATAGAGCATTTGAAATGAATTACAGTGTAATGCTACTTATTATTTGACTAATAAATTGATAATCAAAGATTCATGGAGGATTGCTTTGAAAAGATAAGCATAATTTGGTGGCATATTATAGTGTATTATGAAATTTTAAGATACTATAAAATTTTGTGACTCCTTTTTCCTAAACAAATGAAAAACTATTATTAAGTAGATTTAAGCTTTGTTTATACTAGAAATATCTCATAATTTTCATAGTGCTTAATTTATGTGTAAGTTATTATAAAGTATGCATTTATAAGTTAATGGATTAAAGATCTTCTGTCTAGAAACCTACTGACTTCTAAATATTTTCATTAGTATATGAAATTCCTTCTGGACGTTTCATGAGAGAATTGTGTGGCCACCTCAATATCATTTATGACCTTTCCTGGTCGAAAGATGATCGTTACATCCTCACTTCGTCATCTGATGGCACTGCCAGGTTAGTGTACTCTGTAATAGCGTACCTGTTGTGTAAGTTTCTTAGAGATCAGTGAAATCTAAAGAAAATATGAAGTGCTACAAATACCTTTATGCTTCAGTTATGTTTTGTCTATGAAGTAATCCCCATAAATATGTAGACTAATTGAACAGCATTAAAACTTTTCTTGAAAGCATTTTTCTCAGTATTTCTTATTAATTACTGTAGAACATTTCTGATGCTCTCATCTTTAAATAATCATATTTTAAAGAGACAAGCACCTCTGCTGTGGGCTCAGACCTCAAGACAAAAGATTAAACAAATGCAGCCACACACCTACCTAAGGATAAACATCAGGAATTGATATTCTAAATAGGTATCAGTCACCATGAAAAAGCCAGGAAGAGCTACTAATCCAACCCCCACAGGAAAAGCCCCTGTTCTCTATTTGGGCCTGCTTGCTATGAGACTTGCTTTCCCATTTGATCCTGATTTAATCAATTTTACTTCAGCAATTATATGAGTAATCTTATTGTTGGACCACAGTTTTGTCCCACCTCTTGCCATCTTGTGAGTTCCCATATTTCCCACTTTAGATCCACCTCACCTCATAGTTTTTTTCTATAAAAATCCTAGAAAAGACAAGTTCCGTGGCAACCCACTCAGGTCGTCTTCTGTCCCTCCCTCAGAAGCTTTCATTCCCGCAGTAAATAAATTCTGCTTTAAAAAAAAATCATATTGTAAATTGTTTGATTAGCAGTGTGAGATGAGGTTATTAAACAGTTGAAATTTTTTCCTAAAATATAAACTAAATATATTATATACACCATTTGATAGCAAGGATCCTGTTCTCACTATTGACTATATGTGGGGGTTCGGATCTAGTGGAGCTCATTATATAAATGTAGAAGAAGTAAATACATGTTGCAGATGCTAAATATTTTTATTCTCACAAAATAAGTCCTAAATTATCTATGTCAACTTAAGTGTTATAGTGAAACATTTTAAAAGCTAGTATCCAAAGTTCATTTGTACTTTGTTTTATCTTTGTTTGACTTTGCTTGTGTTCTAAAAATACTATGAGGCAATTTTTCAAAATGATTTTATATACACCATTTAATTTGATTCCCAGAGACATTTTCTATAACTTTTGTGATTGTGGTAAGTGAGAGCCTTTTGAGAACTACATCTGTTTTACTATCATTTATATCTGCTGTATCCTGTTCTTTTAATGTGTAATATAACTTTTTAAGTCTGGGTCTTTTCTTCCACTAATCCACTCAGTCTTGTTCTCTGTATAAAGTGTCTAATTGATAAAGATACTAGCATTTCTTAGTTTATATTTAAATGCAAAAAGTAACAGTTGACTTTGCTCTCCATTGAATCAGGAAGCTACTATTAGTCCCCCTTAGTAATATCCTCAGGCGCTTACCTGGTTTTTCCTTTTAGTACACGCATCCTGTGTGACACCTGGCAATGCTAGAGAATAATACATAACTCTACTGAGGTACGACTATGGATTTGTAAGTCTTTGACTCACTTGCACTGTCATCCCTGCTGAGGAGTCTTTTTACTTATAATTTGTTCAGCTCCTTTTTCTCATTCATCTGGCACCAGTCACAAACCTCACCACTCTCCAATTTCTCCACACTAAGTCAATCTTCCAACTTTTATTAGATGACTGCCTTTACAGTCAAATTTAGATGGACATGAGCTTCCTGTATTTCTGTCTCGTTTCCCTCCTACTATCTATAATTGTGTTTCTCTTTCTCTCAACTATGGTAAAATTACCTTTCCAAAACCCTCTTTCATTATGCTTTGTCTTTTAAAAGTCTTTCCTACCCCCATTGCCCATTAGAAAGTATTCCATTAACCTAGAATGGCATAATAATAGACATATTCTTCCCTCATTGGTTACTCTTATATTCTTCTCATATATACTTACTGTATACCCTTTGCCTGACCTACATAATATTTTGAAATACCCTTAACATCTTACCTTTGGCATCTGAGTGCCCTTGTACTTTATTTACTCCTATACTTAAATACCCCTTACCTCACCCTTCTGCCTAACTCATTTGCCAGAAATTTAAGTGCCTTTTGTGAGCTGCTGGTAGTTATCATGTAAATTCAGCTCAAATTTCACCATTTCTTGAAGCTGTCTTTGGTTTCCTCAAATAACATATATTGAAGTGAAATACATTTTTATATGCTTGAAAACTGGTATTAATTTGGATTCTCTGACCATAAAAATAATATGAAGTATTAACTAAGTGAAAAGAGAAATATCATGGCTATAATCAAAAGACAAAGTTTTTGAATGCAATGAAGAATACTTATAATGAATGAGCTCAAGTAAAAGCAAAAAATAATTGCTCACTCTCATAAGTGGAAAATTGTGGGTTTCCGCCCACGTCTACTTCCGTTTTCCTGAAATCACTGCCACATTATTGTCAGTGTCTCTAAGCATTAATCTCCCACTGAGGAGCTCTCTGCCATATGGTTTTAACCTGAATCCCCTTTAGTTATTTCCAGAATAAGCTGTATTGTTCTCAAATCAGCACCTTTTAATGCAGTGAGCAAGACTTCTCTGTGTAATGGCTCTTAACAGACTATGTTCCCATGACACTCACTCTAATACATACTATTTCAACTTTGATATTTTCCTGCAATATAATAATTTGTAGAGGAAAAAAAACTTTTAAATCAGCTAATTTCCAGTAACTGTTACTTAATGTTAAAAGAACGTAATAGCATGTTATTATTAAAATATGTGTATAGGGGCCGGGGATCTGGCTCAGTAGAATAAGTGCTTGCCTGGCAAGCACAAGGACCTGAGTTCAACCCCCAGTTCCACCAAAAATAAAATAAAATAAAATACATGTATAGTTATATTTATTAAACTTCATTTAATATTTAAAAAAATTTGTGTGTGTGTTCATCCAGTCTTTATGAATTTGTTTTTCCTCTTTCTCAATGAGCAGCCTGATTTTCCTCCAAATCTGTTATTTCTTTTGATCTTTCATTCTACCATCACCTGTATAAAAGAAGTTATCATTGATAATAGTTAATTTTTTATGCAAAAGTCTTCATTTTTATTTTTAAAATATTGTCTTTTAATGTATTGAGAGCTTTTTTTTTTTTTTTTTTTTTTTTTTGCGGAACCAGGAATTGAACTCAGGCCCTTGTGCTTGCCAGGCAAGCGCTTATTCTACTGAGCTATCTCCCCAGCCCCGAGAGCTATTTTAAGGATGTATTTGCCTCATTTCTGCCTGCTACATAGCATTTAAAATAATGATGCAAAGATTCATTCACAAGCAGCTGAGGTTTTTATCTTTTAATTACTGTAATACTCCCTTCAAATTAGAAGTTTTGTTCTTTTAGAAAGTATTCTACTTCATGTAGTATGTGTTCATTGAAAAAATGTGGAAAAAATGTTTTACTATGGACAGAGTAATTTTTCAGGGACACACATGCTTTATTTTCACCTGAAAAGATATTCTTTCACTTCCTTCATTGTTAGTTTGGATTCATGGTACTGTTATTGAAGACTATATTCTATATTTTGAGCAGTTGCTGAGAAGACTCTTAAAATGTTATTCTTGAATAGTCAATTGTATTTTTTCCTTTATAATTTTATAAATGACTTAATTTGCTTTCTTAGTACTTAAGATAAACTATAAATATTCATAATAAAAAGAACATACTCCTGTAATTCTAATAATTCAAGCCACTGCTCCATAGTCCTATAGCACCTGTGCATTGTTGGGTTTGATTATTTTTGCACATTGTTAGAAATTTGAAATACCTCAAAATAGTTTACCTCTTGGAATTTACTCTTTGGTCTAACCTGTAGCAGTTATAATCTTAAAAGTTATTTTATTAATCAACCATTAGAGGAAAATATAATGAGAACATTAAACAGAAAGGAAATGGTTAATTTAGAAGTCTTTTTTCTATCAAAATAAGATTATTTTAATCTTATTTTACCCAAGAGTTCAGAATTATTTCAATATAAGTTTTATATTTATGTTTGTTATGTGAGCTTTAAAATTACAAACATAAAAGTTAAGGAGGAGGCTGGGGAGATAGCTTGGTGGTCTAAGTGCCTGCCTGGCAAGCACAAGGACTGGGGTCCAATCCCTGACACCACATGCCATGCTGGCCATGGAAACCAGGCGTGTTGGTGCATGCCTATAATCCCAGCGCTAGGCAGGCTAAGATAGGAGTATCACTACAAATCCTAGCTGTGTAGTGAGGCCCTGTATCAAATTAAATAAATAAATAAATAAATAAGTTTTTTAAAAAGTTAATGTAAGTGTCCCAGCCTCTAAACTCTACTATTAAGCATCTTGCAATATATATACAGTCTATATGAGATGTCATTTATTTTTCCCTCATAGATTTAAAAAGTAGGTATGCCTAAAGTATAATTTTTAGTTTTACAGAGTAAAACACACCTAATAGATATATGCCTAATAATCATCATCATAATTTCTTTGTAAATATTAGTTTACCATTGATCATTGTGTCTGTTGAATATGTTGGTTCTTACTAAACATCTATTACATTTCTGCCTTTTGGAAGCAATATGTAACTTTTTATCGTTTTCCAGGATCTGGAAAAATGAAATAAATAATACAAATACTTTGAGAGTTTTGCCTCATCCTGCTTTTGTTTACACGGCTAAATTCCACCCAGCTGTAAGAGAGCTTGTGGTTACGGGATGCTATGATTCTGTGATACGGATATGGAAAGTTGAGATGAGAGAAAGTGCTGCTGTATTGCTCCACCAGTTTAATGCTCACAAGAGTTTCATCAATTCTCTCTGTTTTGATGCTGAAGGTATGGCAGAGTATGTTCCAAATAAAGGCTAGTTGCATGATGAATTCATTTTTTTTATTTCATTAGTAGTTATTGAACCTTAAGAGGGATGTTACAGAATTGATAATTATTTATGCATATTTTGGTTTATTATTATTTCACAGGTCACTGAGGAAGTTGTTTGTGATTTTAAAGTTATTTAACTTGTAAACATTTAAATTGTTACTCTTTACTCTGTCATACATCAAATTTTATAAATATATTTATTTAGATTGATAATTATCTTCTTAGTAGTTTTTTTTTTTTTTGGTGGAACCTGGGATTGAACTCAGGTCCTTGCACTTGCCAGGGAAGCGCTTATTCCACTGAGCCATCTCCCTGGCTCACCTTAGTAGTTATTTTTAGGGATCTTTGAAATCAAGGAGTAGATAAAAGGGGCAAAAAATATCCTCAAAGAGTCTTGCAGATGTATATGTGAAATATAGCAATAGATGTTTTAAAAAAGTACACAGACGTATAGAAGGAAAAATTACAATTAAAGTATATAAATACAATTAAAGTATATAATTACAATTAAAGTATATAAATATTATACAATTAGTATATAAATAATATGGATATGTTTAAAGACATAAAATTTAGATTGTTTTATTGGATGAATAAATAAAAATTTTATCTATTAATCACTTTAAATTTCAGAAACTAGGCATTTAGGCTATAGCAATAAATAGGATCCGGATCAAAATGATAATATTGCTCATGTATTCATTTCTTCTCTAGGGATATTAATAAATTTTGAAAGGCTCTGAATAGAAAGGTGTCTGAAAACTCTAATAGAAGTAGCTCACATTATTAAAAAAATAATTTTGAGAATATTTGTCCATAAGATATGCAAAAATGAGAAAAAGGGAAATTGGCCCATGTTGCTCCAGGAGATAGAGATAGGGCCAAAGTTGAAGACAGACCTTTCTTTGCTCAGAATTAGAAGTAGCATTCTAATACATGGAGTGATTCAGCAGTTAAATAAGCTGTTTTGTAAAATATTAAATTCAGTCATCAAGCAGCTATCTGTCAGTAATGGTGGATAAGATGTTCTTGAGTGGCTATGAAGTTGAGCTTGATGGTTGGTCTCGGCAGTCCCACTCAGCTTTATGTAGTTTAACTCAGAAGAATTGTGTTACACCATTAACACTTGTTACTTATCTTATTCATTTTCTGTCATTTATTGCGGTTTTCGGTTCTCAAGTATTATGTTAACAGTATATTTTAGAATATAGGTATTTTCTAGGAATATAAGACAGAATGTATCAGTGGTAAAGATGAGGAATTACATATACATATTGAATAATTCAAGTAATTTAGTTTTGGTTTTGGTGCCTTACACACATGTACTGAGGTATTCATTTGCTCTTGTATTCAAATTTAAGCAAGTGACAAAGGGAACCATGTCGTTGAGGGCAATTTAAAACAGAAAAGTGCACATATAAAGATAACTGGGATTAGGACATGAGTTATTTTGCTTTTTTTGATTTTTAAACTAAAATAACTTGTAATAACCCTCTATTGCTTTGACTAGTTAGGAGGTTATGGTTTCCTCAACTTATTGTTGTTTCTAATTTGTGATGTTTCTAAGTGAGTAATTTTACTTTTTTAAATAGGTCATCACATGTATTCAGGAGACTGCACAGGAGTGATTATTGTATGGAATACATATGTCAACATTAAAGATTTGCAGAACTCAGTATACCACTGGACTATAAATAAGGTAGGAAATAATATTTTATAGTTTTAGATTTAGTAAAGAAATTAGGTAACAGTTCTACCACTTGAGTTTACAATGTGAAGGACATTCCATTCTGTCTTTTAAAAACAATTAAATTTTTCTTGGACCCTAAATGTCAGTTATATTTAATCAACTGTTATAGTCTGCCTGATGGCTGATTTATGACAACTTAGTGAAGATTTTCATTTTGGCGAGTTCGCTTTCAGTCCTTTAAAAATTGTATATTGTCTTTGTTGTTTGTGGGGGGTGTCTGTGCACATGTATGTTCGTTGTGTACGGAAATCACAGCAGGGCCGTACTGTGGCAAGTACTGTGCTACTGAGGAAACACTCCCCCAAGCCCACCTTCAGTCTTTGCAGCCCCAGTTTGCACTCTGGCATTAGCTGGAGTTTATGGCAAAGTGAGGTATGTGTAATGCTACATTACCATGTGTAAGTGACAACTTGTAGTTTTTACTGTAGTCCTCTTTTCTTGGTTGAGTAACATCTCTCTAAACAACATGCTCAGTGCTCATCAGCAGTGCTGTCTTTCATCATCAGGTAATTATGATGAGGGTCCCTGCAAACAATGTTGTTGGTGTATATTTTTTATTTTTTAGTTAAAAATATAAAAGAATCATCCACTTGAGTTTATTTTATTTCTGTGCATTCAGTACAGGATGTACAGGGTCTCACTACACAGATTGGACTCCTGTTTTCACCCTCCCAAGAGCTAGGATTATAGTCATGCACCACCACACCCAGTCTCAATCACCATCTCTACACCCTCCTTCCCCCCCCCCCAGTGAGGACGACATGCTGGCGATCGAACCCTATCCTTGGCTTTAATCCTCTTGAGCTATCTGACTGACCATTGAGTTTATTTTATATATTAGTTTATGTAATTTTTGTCTACCATGTTATATGCTTGTTTTTGAGTTTTACATACTAGCTTATGACACTAGCTGTCCTTTGATTAAAAAAAAAAAAAAGTTACTCTAAGCAAAAAAGAGTTTGCATGGGCCAGGGAGATAGCTCAGCAGAATAAGCACCTGCTTTGGCAAGCACAGTGACCAGGGTTCCATCCCAGTCCCGCATGCTGCACCGGCCCCACCCCCAGGTGCACTAAGCCAGCAACTGAGGCCAGGCTTGGTGGTGCGTGCCTGTAATCTCAGGGCTGGGGAAGCTGAAAACAGGAGCATCGCTAGGAGTCCAGTCTAGGTAGTGACCCTGTACCAAATACATAAAAATGAAGGGAAAAAAATGTGCGTGAATTAGTTAAATGTTTGTATTTATGAGATCTATATTAAAAACTGTATTCTATTTTTAATTATTTTTTTATTTTGTATTTTAGAGAAGGGTCTATAGGGTGTTCAGGGTATCACCACTAGATCAGACTCAGTGATCCACCTGTTTACAGCCTCCCAAGAGCTGGAATTGCAGGTGTGCGCCACCATGCCCAGTCTCTCTATTTAATTATTTTCTATCAAATTAATGATGTTTGGAGATTCATCATGTAGCCTAATTTCACACACTCTCAAAAGAACTTTCTGATTAATTACATACCAAAGGGCAGGGCTGGAGAGATGGCTCAGTGGAATAAGTGCTTCCCCCTGGCAAGCACAAGGGCCTCAGTTCAATCCCCGGTTGTGCAAAAAAAAAAGAAAAGAAAAGAAAAAGAAAAAGAAAAAGAAAAAGGGAGTGCAGCACAAGCACAGGGAGCTTTAAACTAGGAAGGAAGGGCAAGCTGTGGTTTAGGGTTCAGAGAGGAAAGCACACGTCTGGATTGAGTGGATTTGAAAGCAAGTTGAATACATACCAAAGGGACTGGCAAGTCCCTAAAGATAGCAATTTCAAGCTTATGTATGTAGAATGCAGAATGTATCATTTATTAGAAGATGTGTACCTTTTTTAACCTTTATATACTAAGATGGAAATTTATCTCGAAAATCCACAGCTTATAGATCATCAAAAATAAATATTTAGGAAATTAGCAGCAAATGCTCTGTGACAGATTGAAGGCTACATGCAGTCAGCAGTGTGGGGACTGCTAAGGCACATTCATCTATCCCTTAAGGATTAAATATGCATATGCCGTTCCGTGTACTCTTAAGCAGCTGTACTTTATCTTTAAAACAAGGGATTTTTAGTTTGAGCATGAATGTGCTAAAGAAGAATATGAGGAAATTACCATATAATACAAATGCTAGATGTGTCAAGCTTTCTCACATTTATGCCCTTCACTTGTTCTGCAGGTTGTTTATTATTATTATTATTATTTTGCATGTTTACATCTGTTTTAGGTAATCACCTGTGCCTCCCCATCTGAGATTTGCTGTAAGTTTAGCCACTAAAATCCCCATCTGTTGTGTCAGTGTTTCACTATTTTCTATGACTTTTAAAAAAAGAGAAATCAGTCATTAATAGCAGGGCTGAACTGCTGATGAAAGGAATACCTCAAGTTAGCTCATGTACCCCCAGCTAAATCCTCCCATCTCCCCACTCACCAGCCCCGGCAATCTTTCAATGTACATTTGAAGTTTTTACATATTTTTTAGATTCCACATATAAGTGAGATTATGTGATATTTTGCAGTATTTTTCTTTGACTTATTTTACTTAGTATAGTGTCTTCAGGCTTATCTACCTTATTGCAAATGGCAAGATCTTAATGTTTAGGGCTGAATGTGTGTGTGTGTGTGTGTGTGTGTGTGTGTGTGTGTGTGTTTATCCGTCTATCTGTTGCTGGACTTTTAGGTTGTTTCTGTATCTTGGCTTTTGTGAATAGTACGGTGGGGAGCATAGGAATACAGATATCTTTACAAGGTGGTAATTTTGTTTCCTTTGGTATTTGCACAGAAGGGAAATTTCTGGGTCATATGGTGGTTATATTTCTTTAGAAGCCCCCATGCTGTTGTACAGTGGCTTTGCCATTCTACATTCTCAGCAGCAAGGTAGAAGACTTCCCTTTTCTCTGCATCTTTTTTTTTTAAATTTTATTTATTTATTTTTTTTTCTTTTCAAAGTTTTATTGATAAACATATAGCAATGAGACAGTTTCAAATTTTTCTCTGCATCTTTAACAACACTGGTTATCTTTGCACTTCTCGATTATTGTCTTAATAAGTATAAAGTGTAATCTCAAATAATTGGCATTTCCATTTCTATGACATTTAAAAGATGTTGGGCATCCCTGCCTATATTTCTGTGGAGATTTGTTTATTCAGCTTTGTCCATTTTTAATTTCAGTTATTTGCTTTTGCTTTTCTGTTACTGAGTCCTGTGAGTTCTTTAGAAATTTTGGATATTAGCCCCTTAGGAAAAATGGTTTGTAAATAATTTTTCCCAGCGAATAAACTGCCATTTAATGTTGTTGTTTATTTAATGTGCAGAAAGTAGCTTTTTAATTTGATTTAGTCTCATTTACTTATTTTTGCTTTTGTGGCCCGAGTTTTTGGTTCAGTACTCAAAGAAATCATTGCTAGGTAAACAGGGCGTGGTGATGCTCACCTGCACTCCCAGCATTTGCAAGGGTGAAGCAGGACGATTGCTATGAGTTCCAGGCCAAGCTGCACTAAGTTGCAGGATCTTTTCAGAAAAAAAAAATGCCAAAGCCAATGTTCAAAGCCAACATTGAAAAGCTTTTCCATTATATTCTCTTTTGGGGTTTTATGGCTTCTGGCGCAACAGATCTTCTATCCTTTAGAGTTGATTTTAGTGTGTGATATAAGGTATAAAGGAAGTTCTCGTGCACGGCTTGCTCATGCAGCCTCTTCCTGAGAGTTTGTCTTTCCCAACATTAGTTGGACATTTTCTGTGGCTGCCCCAAATAACCAATGGAATGAAAGAAAACATTTACCCAAATTATAATTTAAACGAAATTATTTCCGAATAAGAATTCAAAACAGGCATACTTAAGACAAATGAAAGTATATGAAGAGTCTGAGACAGGATAGAACTTGAAAATTAATTCTACACTTTTAAGTTTATAAAGACTGGAAGCTTTTTATATGATACGAACAGAAATTGTAGTGTTAGGAGATGTGTATGAAGTGTTTAGGGAGCCAACTATATTTTGGTAAAGTAAATAATTACGAAAGTAAATAACTACAATGAGCATTACATAATATAAAAATACAATTTATCAGCCTAAGCAAGTTTCTGGAAATCATTTGCAAAAAGTTTTAAAGCATTCTGTATAATAGAAAGTGACATTTTAAAATCAATTTTGTACTCTTAAAAATTTATAGCATTAGACACTTTTCTGAATAGTATTTTGTGATATTTCTTACCATTTTAGGAAATTAAAGAAGCTGAATTTAAGGGGATTCCAATAAGTTATTTGGAGGTCCACCCCAATGGAAAACGTTTGTTAATCCATACCAAAGATAGTACTTTGAGAATTATGGATCTTCGAATGTAAGTATATGTTATTATTACAGATAAATACTCATAGAATAAATAATGCATTTATATTTATAACATGCAATAGAGATTCTTAACTGGACAATTTTGCCCTCTTAGGAGTATCTGGCAGTGCCTGAAGATGTTTTTGGTATTGCTTTTATTATCTGATTGGTAAAGATCAGAGATGCTAATAAGCATCCTAGAACTCATTGGAAAAGTTCCCACAGGAGAATTAGCCTCAATGTGAACAGCTCAGAGGCTGAAATGTATTCATTTGCTTTATATTTTGTGGCCTGAGCTTTTTGTGCAATACCCAAAGAAACCATTGCTAAGGCAAAAAGAAATCACTGCCAATTACAAAAATTCTACTTTTGACAGTGAGAGATGTTTAGCTCCATGATACCAGTATAATGTGTGTTATGATAAAATAAGGATTGAAGAAGATGGATTCTGATTAACTTATGTGTTTTTCTTTTCTTCCCAAGTAAAGATAAATGTGGGGGAATATCTTTAATATAAAAAGCAGAGCAGAATTCTGAAAAACTCTGCCTGGACTTCTAATAGGGCTGCTATAAAACAAGGGAGAGAGAAAAATCTTTTATTAGATTTCCTTAATGTATTTAGAAAAAGAAAATGTGATAATTTAAATTAGATTCTGCAAGTACCTTCTTAGCATTGACCATTAAGCCTTTTAATGTTTACATAGAACAGTCTAAGTTGCTGGCATGGGAACAGTGGTGGAATGGTAGCAGGATTATCGTGTGAAGACTTGATGGTCTAGTTGTACACCTCCAAAGTAACACTGGAAACATTCAGGTAGACTAAAATATGAGCTCTTCAGGGATTGGCATCTGCTTTTTCTTGCTTCTATAGATAGCATTCATGTCATGCTTGGCAGATAACAAGTACTAGTATGTTTTTTTTATTTTTTATTTATTTATTTTTTTTGGCGGAACCGGGGATTGAACTCAGATCCTTGTGTTTGCCGGTCAAGCGCTTATCCTACTGAGCCATCACCCCAGCCCCAAGTATGTTTTTTTTTAAATTAAAATAAATAAATAATAAAAAGATACTCTTCACAGCAATAATAATGCTAACAACTAATATAATCTTCTGTTAAAGACTTTATTGAGAAGCCGGCATTTGAGGTCAATCTTGAAAAATGGATAGAATTTAGAAAATACAGAATTTTTCAGTAGAATGGATAACAAGATCAAATTTACAAACAAGATAATATGTGTTCAAGGCAGAAAAGTTAGTCTAGGGCCAGGGAGATAGCTCAGTAGAATAAGCACTTGCCTGGAAAGTGCAGGGTCCTGAGTTCAATCCCCAGTTCCACAAAAAAAAAAAAAGAAAGAAAGAAAGAAAAAAGTTAGTCTATATGAGCATAGGTCCTTTGGACTACTAAGAGGGAATTTTTAGAAATAGAAATTAGAACTATAGGGGGCCTGCCCCTTAGCTCAGCTCTTTAAGTGGCTGCTTCAACAAAGCAGTCAGGCTCAGGTTGCTGTGGTTCGATCCCCACAACTGAAGCCAGCCAAACCTGCCCTGAAGGCATAAGGAGAAAAAAAAAATTCCTTGGAAATTAGAACTAGAGTAGAAAGTGAGGCTGAGGAGTTTGATTTATTCCCCCTTTTTAGCAGTGAGATCATGCCTAGGTCTAGGGAGTTAGACACTGTCTTGTCCAGTGTTAGCTGATTAACTTCTCACTGCCTAGATTGAGAAATAATGTACAATACTCAGTGGTTTTGTGGAGGAATAAACTAATTAGTATGTTGTGAAGCACACAGAAAGGACTCTGGAAATGCTTGACCCAGAAACTACAGGTCTGGAAACTTATGTCAAGAAAGTAATTGTAAAATAGTGCAAATACACACACACACACACACACACACACACACACACACGCATACATATATATGACACACAAATTGTAGATAAAAATCATGTTCATGGTAGGGGAATGCTGGAAACATCCAAAATATTTAATAGAAAATTTCCTGAGGTACTTTTAGGCATATTACAAGATACATATTACCAGATAATAACTGGTTGGAAGACAAGATTGTGTTTTACAACAAATACTGTGAAATTCATATTACTTTATTAAGTGAAAAATCTGTATCCCTTGTAATTTTTTAATTCTAATTTGTACTGTCTTAAAAAATAAAGAAGTAAGATACTTTTAGGCAATACTACATGCCCATTAAAGTAATAATGTAGGATCTGTATTTTCTGCCATGGAGGTCAGCTACTCGCCTGTTCTTGAGTGAAAAGAGCAGGTTCCACAGTGTCTAGTCCTACCTCTCTTCTAATAAGTGCATAAGTGAAACTATCTGCTTGTATATCCTATTTAATAAATTATTTAGTAACATTTTATCTCCTATTCCTTCAAGAATCAAGTATTTCTTTGATTTAAAAAAATCCACTATGTGAAAGAAAACATAGCACAAAAAGTCTACCTGTGTTTTAGAAATCAATTCAGATGCTACCTTCATGGAATAGTTTCTGTCTTCTTAACTAGAATTAATGTCTTTTCTAAATCAGAAAATTACTCTTACTGTTCTTCTTGTGTGGTGCTTTCTACATCAACATTCTATTTTATATTGGTATATTTCTTCTTTTTTCTGCAAAATTCTAAGCTCTCTGGGTACAGAGACTAGATCTTCACTGTAGAACAGTGGTGCAAACCTATGACACGTATACCACAGTGGACTGTCTGTCGTCATTGAAAACTGTAGGGCCTGCCAGAATAAAGCGCCTGCTTCTACAGAGCACAGCTAGGATTTGATCCCTGGCATGCTGTGCCGGCCCTGCCCCCGGGGTGCACTGAGATGACGACTGAGACTGGGTGTGGTGGTGCGCACCTGTAATCCCAGCACTTGTGAGGCTGAAAACAGGAGAATCACTGCAAGTCTGATCTACATAGTGAGACTCTGTATACCCTATAGACCCTGTCCTAAATTCA